CTTACATGAACATAACCATTCCATTGTGAAAGGATTTGATTAATTCAAACGCTTCATTTTTTTTTTTTTTTTTTTTTTTTTTTTTTTTTTTTTTACTTCAAGAGTAAACCATCAAACCATGGACGTTCGTGAACTTCGATCGGTAGCAATGTCTATCATACTCAAACAAAGAGTTTGTCGAAATATACCAAAAACTTCATCTTTTCGTAATAAACAAGAAACCCAAACTTATCCACCAATAAACCACAACAGACATCAACCTTATCAATACAAAGAAATTGACGTTGCAGTTTTTGACGCTTTGTTTGAAGGAAAACCTATCGAGAATATTAACCCAGTGACTTCTTCACCAAACTCTTCACCACCGTCGACAAAAATTTTTAAAGATTCTCGATATAGATATGTCATAGACAAGGACTTCTTCAAAAATTGTAGAAAACCAGTATCACAACTCATACTTTATTGGGAAACTGTCTGGTTAGTTGGAAAGGCTACCGCTGGAAGGTGTGCTGGTTGGGATTGGTAAAAGCGGAAGGTGGTCCTAGCATCCCAACAAAATTTATTTATATATAATTCCGCCCGTACATAATAACATTCATGCATAGACTTGTACATTTTTTTTTTTTATATTTTATTTTATTTATCAACCAAAAATTAATTCGTTCATTTGTATTTACATTTTAATGCTTATGTTTTTAATAAAATTTATTCTTCCTTTAGTCAAATACGGCTTTATTTTATTCCTCCTCAACTGTTTTGATATATTGTTGAATAACTTTTGCTCCATACTTGAAATCCACCATTTTCACCCAGGTTTCAATATCATTTGAATTATAAGTTCCACTTTTAACGCTAACTATCGCTGATTGATTCTTAAAGTAAACTTTTGAATCTATGACAAAGGGTTTGGAATCAAATTGAGCTTTTATTCTATTAGCACATCCTTCGCAGCTTATTCCATTTATTTCAACAACAAACGTTTCTATTTCTCTTACCAAGATTTCTTTTGAATTGGTCGAAGAGATTATCTTTCCTTGATTATGTAAAGAAATTAATTCTGGTGAAGCAGTTAATGATATTGATATTAGCAAAGTTATCAAGGTTCGTTTTGAACTGATTCCATATTTAGTTATTGTATATATGATTAAAATTGCGGTAAAAGATAGAAAGATTGGACGATATGGTGTTAAAATACTGAATCCTGCACAACCGATCGAAAAAAAGTTGAGGATTAGCTGTATTATACAACAACTTGAGCTTAGGAGTCCTGTAATAGTTGCCCAAATATATGAAGATTTACTATCTGAAGATAATGAATTTTTAGGTTGCATTCTGAATTTTTTTTTTTTTTTTTTATTTTTTAAATCCATGGGAAAAAAAAAAAAAAAATATTGCGACATTTTTATATAAGGCAAAATGTCACAAAATTTTTTCAGGGGTTTCATCGGTACACCCTTGCATATGTTTATTTATTTATTATTTTGGTATGTATAAATACCTTATTAAAATTTCTGTTAAAATTAATATTTATTTGGAATTTTATAGATTATTAATAATTACTATAAATTATAATAATAAAATCAAGTTTTTTTTTGATTTTTTAAAAATATATATATATTTGTATACTATATTAAAGTTAAAAGATATTATTATAAAAGCTTTTATTGTTTAACTTAATTTAATAATAATATAATATATAAATTTTAAAAATTTATAAATTTTTTATATATTAAAATTTACTTATTAACTAATATTAAAAAGTTTTAATTAAATATTAAATAATGATATTAAAATTTTTATTAAATAATTTATAATATTTAATATAAATTGATATATAAATTAATTATTTAAATATATAATTAAATATAAAAATAAAATCTAAAATTTATGAGAAAATATAATATAAAAAAAAAACATTTATTATCTTAAGAAAATCATTTGTATAAGTTAAAAAATAAGGTTAAATATCTTAAAAGAAAAATCCATTTTCTTATAAATAAAAAATTTAAAAAATAATTTAAATATAGTAATGGTAAATAATATTAAAAATATTAATAAAAAATTAAATAAATATTATTATCTTTCTTACATGATTTTTTATTTCAAATTATACTATAGATATTATCAAAAAATCTATTGCAAAAAATAAAATTTTATTAACAAACTATTTGTTAATTTTTCAGAGTTTCAAAAAGTATCTTACAATTCAAAAATAAAAAATTCTTTATATATTTTCACTTCTTAAATCTACTTATAATAAATCATATAACATAATATAAGAAATTTAAACAAATCTAATTATCAATTCCCTATTTCTTTAAATTGCAAAAACCTTATAAGATATATTAAATTAGTATTTTGTAAAATTAGATCAGATCAGATTTTATCTAAATTCAATCTGATCTGATTTTATTTTTATGAAATTGATCTAAATTCAAATTTGATAAAGCAGTTTAAATTTAAATTAATTTAAATCTGACAGATTAAATCTCAAATTTAAATTTGATAAATTGATTAAAATTCAAATTCAATCTAATTTGAATTTAATCTTAAAAAAGTCTAAAAAATTTTTTTTATTAAAAAAAACAGTTTTCAATTCTAAAAAATATCTAAAAAAATTTCTTTTCATTAAAAAGAAATAAATTTTTAAATTATTTTAATCAAATAATAATATATTATATAAGAAGAAAAATAATAAATGAATTGTTCTAATTAAATAATAATAAATTATTTAAATTGAATAATAATAAATTATTCTAATTAAATAATAAAAAAATTGCTTTTAATTAAACAATAATGAAACTTTCTTCTTGAATAATAATAAATTATTTAATTAAAAAATGGTAAATTATTTAATTAGAATGATAATACTATAAATTATACTTTTTAAATGATAATGAACTATTCAATTAAAATAATAGTAATTAATTATAATAAACTATTTAAAAAAAATAATAATAAATTATTCTAATTAATAAATTATTTAAAAGAATAATAATACATTATTTTAATTGAATAATAATAAATTATTCAATAAGAATAATAGCAAATAATTAATTCTTTTAAATTTAAATCTGAATTTGATGAATCTGATTTAGATTTATATAAAATACTAATTAAAATATTTAGATATTCTAAAAGACAAATTTATTTTTATTGATAAAATTATTAATGTCAAAAATAAAATTTTATTATTATAAAATAATCAAGAAAATATTAATTGTTTAAATACTTTTTTATTTATTAAATTATTTATAAAATTATCAAAGCATTAAGTTTATAATTTATAACAATTTAAACTTATATATTTTTAATTAAAAGTATTTTTCAATTGTATAATTTTTTTTAAATTTTTAATTAAAAAATAAATTTAAATTATATTATTTAAATATATTTATCTGTATTTTATAAAAATAAAAAAAGATTTTAAATATTATTTATTAATTCAAAATAAGTTAATAAATATATTAATAATTATTATATTTAAATTTTCATATTATCCTAATTAAAATTCAAATGTTATAAATTATAAACTTAAAATAGTTATAAATTTTTTTATACAATATAATCAATCTTGATTTTATTCATATTATTACTCTTTTTCAATTTTTTATTCTTTTACTTCCATTTATTTTTATTTAAATAATCTCACATGTTAATTATATTTTATTTCAATCAACTTTTTACATAATTTAATTTTTTTTTAACATTTTAAATAAATTTTCATTCCTTTATTTATTCAAATATTATCTATAATTTATGATCTATATAAAAGAATTTTTATATAATCTTCTTCAGCTTATCAAAAATAACATAAAATTATCAAATAAAATTTCTTTACAATAAAACTATATATTTATATTAAAATCTTTCTAGAATAATATTATAATTTAATATCTATTCAAGATTTATATTCTTCAAATAATTCTTTTAATAAAATTTTTCATTTAAATTATTATAATAGCAATCTTTAAACACATTTTAAAACAAATTATAATAATTTATTATAATACATTATATTCTTTTAAATTCATCAAACTATAAGTAAATCAAGAAACTTCATAAATTATATTACCAATAAATTATTCTCCTTATTTCTATTTCTATCTATTTTAATTAATCTTTCTAAAACTTTTTCTTTTTTTCTCTAAGATCATTAATTTTATTCTTAAATCTATAGATAAATATCTTATTTTTTCTATTTTTATTGATATCTGTTATGATAATAAATATTTTTTATTATATATGTATAAACTTAAATATAACATTATCAAATTCTATAAGCAAAACAGATTTTAATTAGTAAAATCGAAAATAATAAATGAATTTCTAAATTTATTAAATAATAAGTTAATAATTTTAAAGATTTTTTAATAAAAATAATTGATTTTTATTTAAAAAAAACTAAATAAATATAATATTAAATTATTTAATATTGAATCATAATATATCTAATTAATATTTAATTTTCAATATGAAATCAATAAAATAACACATAGTTAAAATATTTTCAAATTATTGCAAATTTAATTAATAAAAAAATTACTGATCATTAGTTTTTAAACAATATTTCTTCAAATTAGATCCTTTAAAAATAATATTATAAATTATTAGATAATATATCAAATAATATTTATAATTATTTATTAAAATTTTTTTTTATTAATAAATAAAATAATATTAAATATTTACCAATTTACAAAATACAAATTCTTCTAAATTATCTAATAAAATATTTAAGATATTAGAATTCAAGTATAAAATTTTCTATATATATAATTTGTATATTTTAATCAGTAACTTTACTTTAATATATATAATAAAATTAGTTT